TCCTTAATGCATTGTACTATGCAAATTAACGGTAAAACTACTACTCAAACAGTACTCTATACTTTGTGTGTCTTTGTGGGTGCAGTCTGTTGAAATCTTTACTTAGTATATACTAAGTTGATCTTCTGTATATAAAGATAATTGAAAATGAATCGTGATGGAGAATGGGATGGGAGAGTGAGTGGGAGATGGGTTGCTTGCAGGTGGGAGGGGGATTATGGGGAGAAAAGCTGCTATATTCAAAAGTTGTACTTTGGAAATTTATATTTATTAAATAAAAGTTGAAAAAAACCACTATAGTCTGTAATGCAAATCACTGCAGGGTCAGCGCCGTGGCACATCCAGTTAACCCGCAGTCTGCAGTGCCAGCATCCCATACGGACGACAGTTTGAGTCTCAGCTACTCTATTTCCAGTCTAGCTCCCTCCTAATGTGCCTGAGAAGGCAGTGGAAGATGACCCAAGTTCTTGGGCCCCTGCACCCACATGAGAGACCCAAATGAAGCTCCTGGCTGTTAGCTTCAGCCTGGCCCAGCCCTGGCTGTTTGTGGCCATTTGGGGGGTGAACCAGTGGATGGAAAATTCTTGCTCACTCGCTCGCTCTTGCTCTCACTCTCTGTAAATCTGACTTTCAAAAAAATAAATAAATCTTAAAAGCAACAACAACAACAAACACTGTTTGCTACCTTAGAAGCTTTGTCCAGAATCCAAAAGCAGCTATGATCCAAGATCCTTATTTAATTTCTTATCCTTGGGTAAAAATTTGATATCAGAATTTTGGTTTCCACTTTATATTTTTTCTAGTGTCTACTTTGCTTTATTCTCTTGTATAAGATAATGAGGTACAATGGTAAAAATATCATGAAGTATTAGCATCAAAAAATGTCATTTTCTGTGTTTCAGACTGCAAACTTTCCCTGTCTAGGGAACAACTCAGAATGTCTCCTCTCTGAGAAACCTTCTTAATGAAGGTGGGAAGAAAGGAAGAAAACTGCCTGGTTTTCGGTTGAATCAGTGGGCAGCAGTCACATAGTATTTGTGTATGATTAGAAAAGTCGGTGTCAGAGATAACAGACCTCAGAGGAGGCACCTGACGATTATACCAGAGCTGCTCCAAAACTGCACCCAGTGCTCGTCAGGCGTTTTGTCCTTCATATAAAAGGGGAACTTGCAGGAAGACAAGGAAACAACAAGGTCCACAGTGCCTAGAAGCCCACAAGCAGGGGATTTTTACAAAATCAACCAAAAATACATTTGTTACATGTGCCAGGCTTCATGTTTTTCAGCAAGTATCTCACGTTGAATGAATTCTCTTTCAGTTCTTTCCCCTCAACCTGATTCAGTCATTCCTGCTTCAGGTGTCTGGATTACAGCCCTTGCCATGTTGTATTGTTACAATTTTTGGTCTGCAGCTGTCACACTAAGCTGGGAGTGCATAAAGGCCCCGAGCTGTGACTCACATCTCTGAGCCCCAGGCCAGCGCCTGGTCCTTAGTTGATCTTTATTGTTTGTTGTGGGATTTAGCCAGCTGGTATGGAAATACAGTTACATTCGTTTTCCCTACAAGAAGTTTTCCCTACAAGAAAGCTCGCACTCAGAGAATTGGGTGACTTGATGGCAGCCCTGCAGTTTGCACACTCATGGCACAGTTTGAGCTACAAAGTCAGGTTTATGTTTTCTGCTCCAGCTCAAATGCTCTCAAGAAGATTCTAGAAGGGGACTATTGGGAAGCGCCAGCAGCATCCTTGCGTGTCTCAGCCAGGAGAGATGGCTCAGGACAGTGAACACAGTAGTTCTGTGTTTACCCAGCATGAATCACTGTAGTGCAGGAGACTGCCAGAAGGAAGAAGTCTGCTGGTTGGATACAAGGGTCTTGAAAAGAAGCTGGCCTTTGCAAACCTTGCATCTGATAAAGGATTAACATCCAAATTATGAAGAACCCATACAGCTCAATGATAGGAAAAAAAAAAAAACCACCCAATTTAAAAATGAGCAAAGAACCTGAATAAATAGTTCTCCAAAGAAGATACCAAAATGGCCACCAGCCGTAAGAAAAGATGTTCACCATCATGAATCATCAGGGAAATGCAAATCAAAACCACTGCGAATACCACCTCACACCCATTAGTATGGCTGTTAACAAAAAGTCAAAAGATAACACATGTTTGTAAGGGTGAGGAGAAAAAGAAACCAGTATACATTGTAGACATTATGGAAAATAGTACAGAAGTTTCTAAAGAAATTGAAAATGGAGCGACCATGTGACACTGCACCTTCTGTGCTTATTCCCAGTGGAAAGGAACTTAGCATGCAGCCTGGCCATCTGCACTCCTGTGTTCCACTGCAACATTATTTATGATAGCCAGGATTTGGAGACAGCCTAAACATCTGCTTCTGGATGAATGGATAAAGAAACTGGTGCGTGTGCGTGGGATGAAATACTATTCAGCCTTCAAAAAGGAAATACTGCTGTTTGTCATAACATGGGTGAACCTGGAAAACGTTATGCTAGGTAAATTAAGCCAGACACAGAAGGAAGAATGTTTCTTGATATCACATAAGTGTGGAATCATGAAAAGAAAAGGTCAGGCTGCAGAAATAGAGAATTCAATGGTGCTTACCAAGACTGAGGGCTGGGAGGAGAGAACAGGAAGATGTGGATCAGAGTACATGAAGTAACAGATATGTAGGATGCCTAAGTCTAGAGCTGTAATTTGCAGCATGAGTACTATAGGTAGTTTAATTGCGCTGCCAAATGAGTAGATTTTAGCTGTTCTTGCCACAAAAGCAAAGGTTAACTATGTGAGATGATGTATATGTTAATTTGCTTTAGTATAATAACCTTTTTGCTATCTCTAAATATGTATCCCATAGCATTGTGTTGTATATCTTAAATATGCACAATAACATTTGTAGAAAAGGGAAGGGAAGGGAATAGAAGGGGAGGAGAGGGAAGAGGACAGGAAAGAAGCGAAGCAAAGCTGATTGCTGTATTCAGACGAAGTGGTGCACTAAAAATCCCTCACAGTAAAGTGCCAAGCTCAAGTCCCCACTTCACTTTCCTTTTTCCCCCAGGGCTGTGCCCTGGTTGATGCAGGCATTGAACATGGCTTTTAGGTAGGAAGGTGGAACTCAGCAAAAGAGATTGTGTATCCTACCTCCTGGCCAAACTGCTAACACCCTTCTGACCACTATCAAGAGGTCTTATTCTAAGAGTCAAGCCCCTAAATGGAGGCCGTTGTGGAAGAGCAGGTGCATTCCAATGGTATTTTATGCCCAAATCCACAGAACCATGGTAACATTCCATAAGACAGGGGACATAGCAGGAGAATCAAGTGCAAGGTGGGCAGTAATGTCAATTTGGAATTTGCAGTCCAGTATTTAAAGTGCCTCTAGGATAACCAGAAGAGGTGCCCTCTCTAGAAATGGTGTCAGGATCAGAAGGCTCCATGAAAGAGGAGCCGGCCCAGGATGTCTGGGCGAGAGCTTGGGTCTTAGGTGTGTGTCTCATGTCTGGTCACCGACTGTTGGTGCAGAAGGAGCTTGGTGGGGCAGGCGGCCTTTCTTGGACATGTGCTGTTCTGATGGGAATCTCTGCAGCTGCTGCATGTCTCAGCCTTCTGGAGGAGGGAGGAGCGGTGAGGGACCTTTTGCTAATGAGTGTGGAAAAAACACTACCCTGTTGTCCCATAGGATGAGGGCTCCCTCTCTCTGCCCTGGTCTCCTGATGGCCGCCCTGTGGAGCTTGCTTCTACTTATTACACTTTAGCAATCGAAATGTCACTTTTAAAAAAGTTCTCTGTGTCTGTTTTTATCATCCATAATTATTTTTAATAGGCAACCACAAATGCATGCTTTGCTTTCTTGGGAAAATATCTCCAATGAAATGGTAGTTTGGTTTTTCCATATGAGTGCTAATGCAGATGGTTGTAATGAGACCTCTTTGATTGGTCACCTCCTAGCTGACTCTGAGTTACTTTAGGTATGCTGCCTAGCTTACTTGCTCTGAAAAAAAAGATTTATTTATTTATTTATTTATTTGAAAGGCAGAGTTAGAGAGAGAGAGAGAGAGAAAGGTCTTCCATCCACTAGTTTGCTCCCCAGATGGCTGCAACAGCCAGGGCTGGGCCAGGCCAAAGCCAGGAGCCAGAAGCCAGGAGCTTCCTCCAGGTCTCCCACATGGGTGCACGAGCCCAAACACTTGGGCCATCTTCTACTTCTCAGGCACATTTGCAGCTGGATCAGAAGTGGAGCAGCCAGGACTCCAGCTGGCTCCCATATGGGATGCTGGCACTGCAGGTGGTGGCTTAACCTGCTGTGCCACAGCAGGGGCCCCTCACTCTCTCTTTATACCCCTCCCTCCTTCTGCCTCCATAACTCAGAATTATCTCGAACTGTAACACACTTAGCTTTTATTATAGCCTATAAACTTTCCATTCTTTTCATTTGTAATTTACCCTCTTTTGTGTGTGCTAATCTGAGAGCAGAATTAAGATGTCTGACTCTAGTTCTTTGCCTTGCAAATATCTCCTAACTCCCTGTCTTTTAATTAACTGAAAGCATTTCTATGGTAAACAAATAACAATTGCAGATTGTGCTACCTACCATCTTTTCTTGTGAAGATGTAAGTGCATCCCTTATTTGTTAAATTACAGCCTTTTATAAAAACTAGATGTGATAGATTTTGTCATTTTGGGTGACACCAACAGAAAACAAAGGATCACTTCTGTATTTTGTTCTTGGCACACCTTGTAGTTAGTATTCACTTTAGTGTGGTAGGTGGGGTGAGGGTGACAAGCTTTGGAGGCAATGACTCAGCCCTGCCACTCTCTAGTGGTGCAACTGGATAAAGTGCCTAACTACTTCTCTGTGCCTTGGTTTCTTTGTATGTAAAATGAGGGTGGTGATAACATTTGCCTCACAGGATTATGTGCCTGTAGTAACATCATGGAACTGGTGTAATGAGCTCATTGAGTGCTAACAGTCTCTATTTTCACATAGTGTACACACCTCTCTCACCCAGCTTACCAGGTGGAAGGAAGCCTCTAGCCCTCTGTCCAGCAGTCCCAAGGACCTGGTAAGCACCTGTAGCCATGGGCTCCTCCTGCCTTCGCACTTCCACGCCAGGCAGCCATTATGCCTCTTCCAAAAACTGCTTATGTCATTTGTTTGTTCCCAGACGTGTCCTTGCCAGTTGAACTTGTGATTGTAATTATGTAATTTAATTAAATATTAGGCAAACAGATGGAATGTAAGTACAAAAAGACAGCTGCTTTTTCTATAAAAATCAACTTTGAGGGCTTCAGAAAGGCTTGATCAAGCTGAGGCACTGAGATGCCCAGAGTGGTTGAATCCATAGAGGCAGAAAGGAGAATGGGGCTGCAGGGGCTGGAGGTGGGGAGAATGGGAGCTGTTGTCTGGAGGGCACAGAGTTTCAGTTTCACAAGATGAAAAGAGTACCAGGGATGGATGATGGTGATGACTGCACGGTAGCAGTGGGCTTAGTGCTAGCAGACTGTCCACTTAAAAATGCTCACAGTGATAGACTTTATGTTATATATATTCTATCGCAGTTTTTAAAGTTTTAAAAAATCTATCACATTAGCTGTAAGTTAACCATAGAAATTGTGGATTGGGAGATTTTTTTTTTAATCATATCTAGGTTGTTTTCCAGTAGTCTTTAAATTTACATGCTTTCAGGAAAGCAAACTAGGAAGCCACAGGCAATTTAGGTGTAATTTACACGAGATACAGATAATCAATGGGCCAGTTTTTAAAATTAACTGCTCAGCATCGATGAGAGTATCATGGAATAAACACATGTTTATATTTTAAGTTTAAAAATGAACCTTTAACTGATGTGTATCAGACTGGACTCTCAGGAAACAGACTCGGAGATGGAGATTGAAGTCATTTGTACTTGTCCTGCACTGACGAGACACAGGCTGGGGGCTCTCCCCAGAGGAGGGGGCATCGCCCTGGGCAGGAACAAGGCAATTTCCTGGTGGGGGGTTTCGTTGCAGGAGTTTTCAGCTGTGAGCTGCTGGCAGATGACACTTCCAGCAGCTGAGGGTCATCCACACAATGTGCAGCCAGTTCTGTGTGTGTGTTTCCTGCTTTGTAGCAGACTTTTTGAAATTCACTGATTGACTCTGCTGCAGAGCAGAGCCTCTTCATGGTTTATGCATCATCTTCTGAAGGTCTCACTGTGCTTCATCTTCTTTACCTGTGGCAGTTGTCCATCTGTGATATGGCCAGTCTGTGTTCTCACCAGTTCTGCAACTTAATCCCAACTCATACACGTGTGGTGTGTTGGAAGCTTGACTGACGTTAGAGCCTCTGTCCACTTTTGCAGACTTTTCAGTACATACTTTTGAGAGTCCGGGAACAAATCTCAGCTTTTGCTTCTTAAATTTCCTGATGTAGTTTTGGATTTGATGATGCGCTTTGGCGGATTCTCCACGTTCGTGCTACAGGTGCTCTTCTCGTGTCCTGGGATGTGACGGTCTCCCGCTCCCTGGCGTTCAGTTACTCTTGCACCTGCCATGAGTGCCTTCCTTTGGTTAAGCCTCTTCCTGTAGCCCTGCATCTCTTTATCTGATTCCCAGGCTTTCACTTGAGTGATGGCCAATCTCCAGGATGCCCTGATTTCACTTTTAGATTAATCTTCCCAACCTTAAAACAGGTACCTGATTATGTAGTTGTTTCTGTTTATTATTAAATGTGAATTTGTTTTCATTTCCATGAGCTTGTTTTGCTCCAAATTATAAATGCTAAAAGGGGAGTCTGAATTCCTTTGCAAGTGTAACCATAACTAGAGCACAAAGACACTCTGATTACTCTACAGTGTCTGTTTTCTTTTAGCACGTTAGCCTGCGCTGACCTTTTAGTGGGAATACTATTCAGTCTCATTTATACTTAGACTTTCATTTAGCCAAGTCTTGTTGTTTCCTTGGTTGCAAATTTTCTCTCTTTATGCAAACTGGGAACTGAAGCCTTTCATTTGACTTGTGATCTTGTACATTCTGGAAGCTCATACATGTAATCGTGGAACAAATAAAGCAGCTGGAAGAAATCTTTCCTGAACAAAACCCAAGTGGGACATTTGGGTGCCAGCCAGCATTTCAGCAGCTACAGAGGGAGATGTAAAAAGCCTGCCTATATTACAACACCAACAAATCACTTCTGCCCCAATAAGAATGTCCTTTGGTAATGACCAGATAGAGGGTAGGGACCTTTACACATTTAATTGTCTGACCACAGAATAAAGTGTTTGCAGTAACCTTCCAAGGTCTCTGCACCAAGTTAATTCCTGTAGTAGGACTAGGGGTATTGTGTTCAGTGGACCAAGCCTAGACTAAATTCTGAGTTTGATGAACTCAGACCTCCCATTCAATTACTGTGAGGTCCTAGGCAAGAGGTAGAGTGTTAAACTTCCATCCAAAATTAGGAGTTATTCAGATTAAGCTTAAAGAGGCTGAAGAAGCTACTAAACAGCTACCTAATAATAAATTGGGTGGGTATTTGGCCTAGAAATTAGGAGACCAGTTAGAATGCTCACATACCATATCAAAGTGCCTGGGGTAAGGTCCGAGCTCTGTTCTAGGTTCCAGCATCCTGCTAGTGCAAACCCTGGAGGGCAGCAAGTGATAGCTGAGTTTTCGGGTCCCTGCTGCCCACATGGGAGACCTGGATTGGGTTCCTGTCTCCTGCCTGGCCCAGCCTCAGCTGTTGTATGCCTTTGGGGAGGTACTGGCGGCTGGGAGCTCTCTCTCTGTTTTCCTGTCTCCTGCCACCACCATCTGTCTGCCTATCAGATAAGTAAATATTGAAATGAAGATTGTTTTAAAATGAAGCTCTATAGAATGTGGTAACTTCCTTCGTCTTTTAAGAGAACAAAGTTAAATATCCTGTGATGAAATAATTAGGTACAGTTTCACTGGACATTTTGGTGAGAGTGATATGAGACGTATGTGTACACATTTATATATTTACATGTACAAAAGCTTGGAATGGAGGTAGGTCTTTAAAAATGTAAAAGTGTGCCGAATTTGATTTATCAGTTAATTCAGGCAGCATTAATAGTTGTGTAGAGCAGTTCAGTTCTTCTCAAACTTCAGGCGCACAGGAATCACTTGTATGGGTTTTAAAATGTCCTTCCTGGGTCCCATCCTCAGAGTTCCTGATTCAATAGATGTTATGGGGTGTGTGTGTGTGTGTGTGTGTGTGAAATTTTGCATCTAACAAACTCTCAAGTAATGATACTATTGATGTGCAGACCATACTTTGAGCAGTCCAGTCTAGAGATTCAAAATGCAAAGGCAAAGAATGTGTGTGTGTGTGTATGTGTGTTTCAAAGATATTTCAGAGAACACAGCAAGTGCAAAGGCATAAAGAACTGAAACTACATGGCACATGCAGGGGCATGGATTTTGGTTTACTCAAGCAAAGAGCGTGCAACTGGCCAGAGAAGGGGCAGAGGTGATTTCACTGGGGTGAGGAGTAGGTGAACCTGTGGCAGGGGGAGGTGCCAAGAAGTAGGCAGAACTTTGATCATAATGAGGGGCTTGTGTACTCTCAGGAATTTGTTTTCCTAAGCCGGAAACCAAGAGAATAGAAAAATGAAAAATCCAAGATTCAGAAGAGATTTCAAGGTAGAGTTAATGATCACATAGAATTTGGTCAATTATAATCTAATCAACACAAAATCTTGCTGAGTTACACTTTACCTGAAAGTTAAGACTTGGGGTGTCTGATTTCTTCAGTCCTGGTAATTTTGGGGCATTATATGATGATTTCCATGTTCTTAAATATGTGTTTTCCATAGTTTTCTATCTGATGGATAGTCAGCCAGTCAGCCTTGTCTAAAACTGTGATGATGAACGATTGGAATGCCAAGATATTAACCATAGAAATATCTTAACTCAAAACTGGTTTCTCATGACATAAAGCAATACTTACTTATTACAGAGGCTATAGATGCACAGAAAAACTCACATAACCCCACCCTCATTATAAAGTCGTTGCCAGAATCCCAAGTCCAACTTCTTAGATTCTTTTCTGTGTAAAAAGTACATTCTTCCCTACCAAAATAGCATCACACCATGTAGGTTCTGAAAACTAGCCTAGTTTATCTCAGTAATGTGCCAGTTGTTGGACATTTGCATTATCCCGACTTAATTCCTGTTGTTTCACATTATTATTCATCTGTTCCGAGTCATCCCAGATGTCTGAGGCCTACATGGAGGAGCAGGAATCAGCCAGGGAAGATGAGGGAGGAGGCCCTGGCACTCATGAGGAACAGATACACAAGGCTGGGCCATGGCAGGTGAAGGGAGGTGGGAGCGGAGGCTGCTGAGATGAACACTTGCCTGTAGTTGGACTTCCTGAAGAATAACTAGTCCAAATTAAGTCAGCTGGGGAAAAGTAAATTAGAGGGAAAAGGCAAATAAAAGGAGAGGGTCTCAGCAGTCTGTTACTGGGTAGTATTCCTTTTCACACAGATGTGGTTCAGCGCGTTGTTGTTTTATCTGACTTGATTTGGACTAAGTTGTTTTTGGCGAAGGGCTTTGAGTCAGATGATCAGGACCCAGACTCACAGGCTTGGGCCTGACAGCATCCTGTGGTGTGCTGGCGCCAGCTCATGCCAGCTCTCAAGCCAGCCCTGCCCATCGTTTCAGTGATGGTGCCCTGGCGACTTGAAATCAGCAAGTGCTACAAACCAGGCATTTTTCTTTTTCTTTTCATGAGAGCCAATTCTCCAGCATGCGCTAGATGTAGCTGAGAGAGAGGGAGTCCAAGGTAAATGTCCTGGGTTCTGGCGCAGGAATCGAACACCAGTCATACATCATGGAAGGCAGCATGGACTTGGCACTCAGAAGGAGCAGGGTTTGAAAATGGCCGTTTTCCTGCGCTTTCTTGCAGAGTGAGGAGCTCCTCTGAGCCTCGACTTCCTCATGGGAGATGATGCCACTGATAAGAACTTACAGGAGGGGGACAGGCTATTATCATGAAGGTGGAAGAGGGGGCGTTAAATTGATTGCTGGAATACGTGAGTTTTGAGTCACTTTGGGGAGATTTGGGTAGAGGATTCTGTAACAACAACAACACTAGTTGTGTTAGCTGTGTGCTTCAGCATGTATCATTGTTTTTATTCCTTGAAAGAACTGTGGAGGTAGAAACTAGAGATATGGTTGCTCCTGTTCTATAACCTAAGTTTAAGTTATTTCCTCATAACCAGACAACTGTTTTTTTTTTTTTTTTTTTTTTTTTTTTTTTTTTTTTTACAGGCAGAGTGGACAGTGAGAGAGAGACAGAGAGAAAGGTCTTCCTTTTGCCGTTGGTTCACCCTCCAATGGCCGCCGCGGCCGGCGCGCTGCGGCTGGCGCACCGCGGCTGGCGCACCGCACTGATCTGATGGCAGGAGCCAGGAGCCAGGTGCTTTTCCTGGTCTCCCATGGGGTGCAGGGCCCAAGCACCTGGGCCATCCTCCACTGCACTCCCTGGCCACAGCAGAGGGCTGGCCTGGAAGAGGGGCAACCAGGACAGAATCCGGCGCCCCGACCGGGACTAGAACCCGGTGTGCCGGCGCCGCTAGGCGGAGGATTAGCCTAGTGAGCCGCGGCGCCGGCCCCAGACAACTGTTAAATGCAGAGAATGGACTTGTGAGCTGAGTTTTTCTGAATTCAGAGTCCGTATTCCTAATCAGTGTGCCTGTAGGATCTCCACGTAGCAGAGATATCTGAGCTAGATGGTATGGATTTGTGAATCCTATGAGTGGTTGAAGTCATAGGTGTGTTGAGGTCCTATGTGGAGCTTTTAAAGAGTGAGAAGACTACAGGGTAAGGATGAAATCCTAGGTGTCACCAACAACAAGGTGAGCTATGAGATTTGGCAATATGGAAAACATTGACAGTCTTAGCAAAAATATGGAAAGCATTGACGGTTGTAGCAAAAGCAGCTTGGATATGGTGATGATGGGAACAGAGATTGCTTTGGATTGGGAGTGAACTGATGAGGAGGAAGTTGAGGGAACTGATGGAAATGCTTTTGAATAATAAGATGCCAAAGAAGAAACTGGAACTTGAGGGAGATTCCTAAGGATACCTATCGGGAAGAAAGGGGGGACAGAGCGAAGGTTTAAGAATGTGCCTGAAGGGGGCTGGCACTATGGCATAGTGGGCTAAGCCTCCGCCTGTGGGCACCGGTTATAGACCCAGCTTCTGCTCTTCTGATCCAGCTCTCTACTGTGGCCTGGAAAAGCAGAAGATGGCCCAAGTGCTTAGGCCTCTGTATCCACGTGGGAGACCTGGAAGAAGCTCCTGGCTCCTGTCTTCAGATCGGCTTAGCTCCAGCCATTGTGGCCATCTGGGGAGTTAACCAGCAGATGGAAGACTGTCTCTCTGTCCCTCTCTCTGTCTGTAACTCTGCCTCTCAAATAAATAAGTAAAATCTTAAAAAAAAAAAAAAAAAAAAGAATGTGACTGAAGGGACCAAGGCCACTAGAAGAGAAGAGAGGTGGAGAGGTGGAATCCAAAGCCTGGTAGGAGAATTATGACTGCATTGATTTCAGAGTTGGGTTTTGTCGGTCGAATGTGATGGAAAAACAAGGATAATGGCTAGTGTGACAAAGGCATGGCACCAGTGCCTCAGGCCAGGAGAGAATAAAGAACGAGCAAAACCAAGAGGCCATCCGTCTACTGACAGGATGCAGAGCGGTCAGGATCCTGGGAAGGGATCTCAGAGATGTTGAAGAGCAGGTAGAGAGAATAGTGAGTTATGGACAGTAATCTGCCATTGGCTAACTCATATGCAGATGAGTCTGAGTAGTTGACAAGTCCCTGGACCAACCCTCACAGGTCAGCTTTGAAACTCAAAGAAGGTGCAGGTCATCAGAACTGAGGTAACCATAATTCTAATCAGAGAATTGTAGTTGAGACCTTAAACTAGTATTTTTTTGAGTCCCCAACTAACAAGACTACATATTTTTAGAACAGTTGGTTAGTAATCCACGTGTTAGGGACCAGCATTGTGGTGCAGCTGGTTAAGCCGCCACCTACAACACCAGCATCCCGTATGGCACCCGTTCAGGTCTCAGCTGCTCCGCTTCCAATCCAGCTCCATGCTAATGTGTCTGGGAAAGCAGTGAAAGATGGCCCAAGTCCAAGTGTGCATCCACATGGCACACCTGAATGGAGTTCCAGACGCCTGGCTTCAGCTTGGCCCAGCCTGTCCATTGTAGCCATTTGGGGTGTTAACCGGTAGAATAAATCTTTTTTAAAAAATACACATGTGTATGTCTAAAGAGATTTCTCCCAATTGTGGTGGAAACATTCCTTAGTGACATAGTCTTTAATTAGTACCCCAAAATCTGATAGCATCCTCAACTTTTTCTCATAGTCCTCTTTCTGGGATTGGTAGGGGAAGACTGTAAAAGTCCTGGGCCATTTCTTCTTCCAGGAGATGACCAGCTTTGTGTTCTGAAGAATAATGCTAATAATAATCATTGTTGTCATTTGTTAAACTTTTACCACATGCCAGCCAATGTACTAAGCACTTTATATAGATCATCTGTCCCTTTATAGCCTTAAAATAATTCCATGATATGGGTCCATTTTCTGTCTTTATTTTATAGATAAAGGCTCTGAAGATTAGAGAGGTTAAGTCCCTTGCGCAGGTCGCTCAGCTTATAAGTGATGGAGCCAATATTCAAATCCAGACAGTTTGCCTATAGGACTTGAGATCCAAACTCTGACGAGCTTTCAGTCAGTGGCTGGGCTGATCAAAGTCATCTTGATGGGAGAAGTTAGCGTGCTCGTGTCTGTGAAGGAATTGGACAGTAACTACCCCAGGGATCTCTTTTTCAGACTCACCACTGGAATGAACTGGGGCTCCTGAATGCACCCCCGCCTTCTCGTTGCTCGTTCTCAGCTTGTGTCTCCCCAGGGCACAGACTCATGGTGCCTCCCGAGCACTCTGTCACCTGCACAGTTCTGCTTTCTCTTTCTTGCTTTTTCTTTCTTTCTTTCTTCCTTTCTTCCTTTCTTCCTTTCTTCCTTCCCTTCCTTCCCTTCCTTCCCTTCCTTCCCTTCCTTCCCTTCCTGGCAGAGTGGACAGTGAGAGAGAGAGACAGTGAGAAAGGTCTTCCTTTTCTTCTGGTTCAGCCCCCAGTGGCTGCTCCAGTGGCGCGCTGCGGCCGGCGCACCACGCTGATCCGAAGCCAGGAGCCAGGTGCTTCTCCTGGTCTCCCATGCGGGTGCAGGGCCCATGCACCTGGGCCATCCTCCACTGCACTCCCTGGCCATAGCAGAGAGCTGGCCTGGAAGAGGGGCAACCGGGACAGAATCCGGCGCCCCGACCGGGACTAGAACCCGGTGTGCCAGTGCCGCAGGCAGAGGATTAGCCTAGTGAGCCGCAGCGCCGGCCACAGTTCTGCTTTCCCAAGATGGTGCCCCTCACTGCCAGGGCCAAATGAGGCATCTTCTCAGCACCCCAGAAGGTAAACCTCTGGGCTCTACTTGCCAGAGAGCTGAGTGGTGGCATGAAGACATTCATTCTGTCACTGACTTTAGGAATTATTGGAGGGTTGTTCTACGTACATACTCCTTTGGTGGTGCTTGGGTATTCCAGATATGAGGAGGTTGTTGAGCTGATGTGTAAACCGTAGTTCAAGCACACTCAGAAAAGTAAGAAAAGATATGCATAGAGAAAAAAAGCATCTTTTTGTAGTGATAAAAATGAGCTACTCCATTGGAAAATACCTCCTTGAAAATCAGACTCATTTGTTTCTAAATTATTTGCTGTTTTCAGAAAATGATACCTTTTCTGTTCCATTCCTCATTACAACTTTCATTTTAAATGATGCATTTACCAAGGTCTCATACTTGGATGAACTCCTGGTGTGTATCCAGAAAATACTGAAGGAAGAGCAATGCAATGGAACTCCAGTCAGGGTGGCATTGTGGGCACGGTGGGTTAAGCCCATACTTGGGATGCCTGAACTCCATATTAGGGTTCCATTTTGAATCCCAGCTACTCCACTTCTTCTTCTTCTTTTTTTTTTGGACAGGCAGAGTGGACAGTGAGAGAGAGACAGAGAGAAAGGTCTTCCTTTTGCCGTTGGTTCATCCTCCAATGGCCGCCGCGGCCGGTGGCCGGTGCACTGCGCTGATCTGATGGCAGGAGCCAGGTACTTATCCTGGTCTCCCATGGGGTGCAGGGCCCAAGCACTTGGGCCATCCTCCACTGCCTTCCCGGGCCACAGCAGAGAGCTGGCCTGGAAGAGGGGCAACCGGGACAGAATCCGGTGCCCCGACCGGGACTAGAACCCGGTATGCCGGCGCCACAAGGCGGAGGATTAGCCTAGTGAGCTGCGGCGCTGGCCACTACTCCACTTCTGATCCAGTTTTCTACTAATGCATTCTGGAGGCAGTAGGTGATGCTCAAGAGCTTGGGTCCCTTCCACGCATGCGGGAAACCCAGATGCTATTCCTGGCTCCAGCTTTGGCCTAGCCCAGCCCTGGCTGTTGCAGGTATTTGGGGAATGAGCCAGCAAAAAGAAGGTTCCTTTCTCTCTCTCTCCATCTCTCTCTCTCTCTCCCTCTTTCAAATAGATGAAAATAAGTTTTAAAACAAGTATAATATGGTGTATATTTCTTTCAGCCTATGTTTATTGATCAGATGAAGTTTTTTTTAATGTTTATTTATTTGTAAAGGAGAGAGAGAGAAAAGTCAGTTTCCCATCCACTGGTTCATTACCCAGATGCTCACAACAGCCAAGGCCAGGCCAAAGCTGGGAGCCTGAAACTCAATCTGGGTTTCCCATGTGGGTGCTAGGGACCCAAATACTTGAGTTATCACCTGCTACCCCCCCGAGTACACATTAGCAGGAAGCTGGAATTGGAAGCAGAGCTGGGACTTGAACCCCCGCACTGTGATATAAGATGCATCTTACCTGCTATGCCAAACTCCTACCCCAAGACTATTTTTAACCCTTTTCTGCAAGAAAACTATTTTACCTTATCTTACAAGATAAAAAAATAACAAAACAATTTTGTTGTACTTTCAATGTTAGGTATATTCCTAAACATTATCAATCCATAGCATATCCATGTTTTATAACCCCTGCCCCCCGCCACTGCCTCTTCCAACCACCTACACAATACAAGACAGAAAGCCAGCTAGTGAGAGGCCCACCTGGCAGACCATCTCACAGTGGTCCAAAAGCAGTACCACTGAACGGTT